ATTTTTTCACTGTGTGTGTGAATGGATGAATATTTCTGTTTAAACTCCTTGTAATTACTAGTTTTTATAAATATTTTTTTCACTGTGTGTGTGAATGGATGAATATTTCTGTTTAAACTCCTTGTCATTACTAGTTTCTGTAAATATTTTTTCACTGTTTGTGTGTGTGAATGGATGAACAAATAAACTTTAATGTGTCTGTGTCATTTGGTTGACTGCTAATATTAATTTGTTTTCTTTTCCTAGTTGATACTTGCTATACTTTTGATATTCGAGTATGGTACTGTTGCCATGTTTAATACATATTAACTTTTTTTTCACTTGTTTTGCTATCTCGTTTGAAAATAAAACCCATCAGCAATATAAAGGTAATTAGTAGTTTTTTCGGTTCAACAGAAAGTTACGCTACTCCAAGTGAAACTAAGAACATCTAAATTAAATGATACCATATTTTGTGTTACTCGGAGTCTCATTATTTGCTTAAAGGAAGTTATTAAATTACGAGCTGGAGTACCCGTCCCTTGTAAAGTCATGATTAATGAAAGGTTATCTTAGGACATGAAAAGTTGCTTCCCTTATACGTAATTGTAAAAATCGCAAAAATGCCCATAAAAACTGCAAAACACAAAATGTGAAAACCGCAAGTTTGCATGTATCTCCGAATAGACCCAACAAACCTTCATGCTAAATTTGGTGAAAATCTATCAACAGGGGGCGAAGTAGTGGTAAAAAACGCAAAAACGCCCATAAAGACTGTAAAATGAAAAATACAAAACTGAAAATTTGTATGTATCTCCCCAGGGACCTAATGAATATCCATGCCAATTTTGGTGAAGATCAATTTACACCCTGCGAAGTAGTTACATGGACATGCAACAGACAGTACTATTATATTTCTATAGATATAGTACTTTTAAACTAACAGAAGCACTTAAGAAATTAATGAAATTGTTTTAAAGGACAATGAACACTATCGAGCTGGAGTACAAAAAAGTCATTTGAGGTAGCAACTACTTCGAGATATTATTAGATGAGCAATTGGTATTAATGCCATAAGCATGAAAGATAACAGCTCCTGATTTTGCTTCAAATCACGGGAAAATATTCAAATGTATATTTGTTGTTAGTTCATCTAAATGTTTTTAATAATTCTCAAGTGTCATATTTTTATGCTTTTGTGTTGAAATAGAATGTTTTCTGTTTAGAATTTATCTAAAATACAATAGCTGATCTATTATAAAACATGGATTTATTTATTTCGCAAGAATTCCAGAATACTTGTTAATTTGTTCTTTCAATGTCTGATTCAATTCAGTTTCTACAATTACATGAATCATTTAATTTTTGCACCATATGTACTTTAATAACATCAAACTTGCGCCCCTCTCTTAATATCAAATTATCAAATAATTAAGCTAGGTGCTTTCATAGTAGATTAAATATCGCTGTACGCACTAACACATAATATCAGTAAGCTTTTTTCTCATTTAACAGCTTTCATTTTCATTGTAACTCACAATTTATAAAGCTTATAATCCATAAAGTATTTTAGTATAATAGTGTTCCATTGGAAAGAGCTCACTACCAATTAACGCTAATAAAAATATATTTACAGATATGATACGGTAATTAGTAAAATAATAATAACCATAGATCTTTACTTTGAAAAAATACAGAAAGTAAAAACAAATTAAATGTTATTGTAATATTTATTTCTTCTACTTATTAGAATCTATATTTATCAAATTTAGACGTGTAGTCGTTAAGTGAAGTTGATAATAATACGAAAATTGTATGATTGAGATGTATATAGTTAATTTTGTTGTTTTTTCTGTTTGGATATCTTTTAAAAAGTGGGTATCTTCTGTTATTAGTTATTATATATTTCATTGGATGTTCGACGGAAAATCAAATAAATAGCTCGTTATTCTTATTTCAGTTACCCAGCTTCATTCTCAAGCTAGCCTCAGTAGACACAGCGCCCTCGCTCGGCAAAGACACGCAAAATCTAATTCTGCTCATTCACAGAATAACACGACGACAGCATCCACATCTCCAAATCGTGGTGGTCGCTTAATGACCGTGACATATGCAAGGTAAACGCTTACGCACAATGTACTGCATGTAGCAATGTATACTTTGGCCAGCACATGTGTTCACTTGATCGTGTTTGTTTGTTTGTCTCATAGCTATTGTATCCCACCTGTGTTAATGTTGCTCTTTGATGAATGCTAAAAGTAAACGAGTCTATGTATGATTGCTATAAAAAATTAAGTATCAAGCACACAAAATAATCAGAAAAATATTTATATATTTTTTTCAGAATCTTTCATCATTAAACCAATTTTCTGAAAATTATATGGCAATATAATTATTTTTATTAGTATATGTCTCAATTAACTATTGATTATTGATAAAATGTTTATTCAGCTTGACTGGTGGTGTATTAACCTTTAATGCACTAGACTTTGTCTTTGATGTAGCAGGGAAGTGATTGGGATGTTTTAGGACAGGTTTACTAGTATGCACTCATGGCTTCAATTTCACCACACTTTTCTGTCTACCATCTCTTTCCAGTCCCGTATCTGGCACCCAGCAGCCTTCTAGGACGGCCGCGCCCGACTTGTACTCTGGCTTACACCTTGCCTATGAAGTAAAAAAGCTCATGTATGCCACCCTTTCTCTCACTTTTTTTTTTCTTTACTGTCTATCTTTTTCTTTCTTTTAGTTTTACGATAATTTCCATTTACGTATTGTTATGCTGGAATTGGGCAAAAGCGCCCTCTAGTGATTAAAACTAGTGTATCACTGCATTTTTTTTTAAATTCAAAGAAATGCAAATTCTTCATTACATTATTTTTGTTAATTTTTTATATTTATTTGAAGAAGTGAGAGATCTCTACTTCTCAGAAAATAACCCTTTGACTAAATAAATCATTTATTAAAATAGATACGTATTGGAAACTTCATAAATATGTAGAGGGCGCTTTCCCGCTTTTATTCATGTCTAAATGCATGTTTGAGAGTTTTAAAATCCGATCACTGTTTCACAGTCTTGAGAATTTGCTCGTGTACCTGAAATTTGCCTGAATATCTTATATTTTTAGTGTGTGTGTGTGTCTGCACACACACATACACACACACAAAAGACGTATTAATTTAGGTTAAACACCAAACGGTAGAAAAAATATATATACATTGTAACCTGTTACCTTATATATTCCTACACACTTTCCACATATTCTAATTAAAACACACATAAAAAAGCATCTTGAATCTTCCAACTTGTTTGCATGATGAAATTGCATTTTAGCTTGATGCCCGAGCATGTGGAAAATACAAAAAGAAACTTTGCATGCTGTATGCTTCGCACCAATTTATGCTATATGCATTGGGAAAATATAAATATTTAATAAAAAAATGTAGTTACTATTTATGTCATTTTTTTCTTCAATATCTATTACAACAGTGACCTCTGTCTCTCTTTCAAACTAACATAAATTAAATTTGGTATCTTTTTTTTTTGTTTGGCTTATGCTCAAATTGAAACAGTATTTATTTATTAATAAAATTAGTCTCTAAGATAGTTCATATTGTTATGCAATAAATACCACTGATTGTTTAAAAAATATATTACTGAAATAGTATTACTTAATATTTCTAATCTTAAAGTAAAATATAAATATTTAAAAGTAAAAATAGTTCTTAAATTTAAAATTAAAAAATGCTCTAAATTACCGATAAGTGACGCCTCTGTTTCTTTGACAGTACCATTGTGACCAAAGAATATTAATTCTTTCAGCTATGGACAAACAGTATTGTCATCAAAACCCAATTTATACTTTTTTTCTCCTGCTAAAATTTGGTACTTTTGGCAAAGTCATTATCAATTTATAATATTTTTAAAATTTTAAAATTGATATTCTAATATGTATATGTGTGTTTGGTGATAAACATGCATTTTACAGTAAACCTGGTACTAAATATGACACATAACGATGTAATTTCATGTTTGAAACTTCTATGACTCAAGTGAAAAGTAATTAAATACGAAAAATTTCGTTAATGATGCAATCGGGAAGTGATTGACCCAAAATCGAAATTCGTGTTTCATTTTGTAATCCTTCCAAACTTAAAAAAACTGTCAGTGATAAAGCAGTCAGTAAAGAATCGACATCAACGGGCATCATCTTGACATCAAATGTAAGCCAACTACTGATACTTAAAGATCATTAAGTTAATAGAAAAAATACCATGTATCTTGTTTTAGTGTGTACAGCTTGAAAGTTCCATTTAGTTTACTCATTGTTTTACCAAATTTATTGTTTTACATTTACAAACTACTGACAGTTAAAATACAAACAAATTTAACTATTCATGATTTTGCAAAAGCTTTGTCATTTTGTTTCAAACTCATAACAGCAGTTTCTCAGAATTTAGATAAAATTTGGATAATTTGAAATAGATAGTGGCATATATTTTCTCCTGTTGGTTTCAGCTCCCCAACCCCCCCCCCCCCGGTGGCTCAACGGTAAGTTTGAGGGCTTATAACTTTAAAAATCGGGTTTCGATACCCGTAGTGGGCGGAGCACCAATTACTTATTGTGTACCTTTGTGCTCAACAACAACCAAACTTTCAAACCGGTAATTACAATAACATATGTTCGAAGAGAGCATGATCATATAACTAGTTTGGTCTTGATATTTTGAACAAATAACTATGAATTAGAACAATCAGGTGAAATATATTAGTTGACGTGAAAGAAATGCTAGTATTTTGTTAACAAGTCTGCACAATTAATCAAAATATTATTAAATTTATGGTTATGTTGTGTTAAGATTAAAATATTTTAGCGCCCTTGGTTGTAAATTAATCTAATATTGGGGAAAAGACCTATGAGCATAGTTTGTATTTGTTTGTTGAATTTCGCGCAAAGTTACTCGAAACCTATCTGCACTCGCCGTCCGTAATTTTGAAGTAATACACTGGACGGTTTGTTTATTTGTTTATTTGGAGTTAAACACAAGGCCACACAATGAGTTATCTCTGCTGTGCTCACTACGGGTATCGAAACCCGGTTTTTAGCGTCATAAGCCTTCAGATTTACCGCTGTGCCATTGGGGTGCAACTAGACGGAAGATAGTTGTAAACACTACCTACCGCCAACTCTTGGATTACTCTTTACCAACAAACAGTGGAATTGACTGTCACACTATAACGCTCCCAAGGCTGAAAGGGTGGGCATACTCGTTGATAGGATTCAAAACCACGACCCGCGGATTAGTCAAATGTCCTAACCACCAGTCCATGCCAGGCTACATAAGCATAGGCTGAACAGAAATAGTAATGTTTTCAAATTTCTTCATATTATCTAAAAAAAAAAAATCATAAGATTCGATGAAGCATTTTACTAGGTTAAAAACGGTGGAAAGTTAGTTATATAAATAATAAAATATTAGCTTCGTTTTTGAACTAAGACTGTTGTTAGAAAAAGATATTAATTCAAGGAATTATCTTTACAAATTAAAAACAAGTTCTACATAAACAACAAGCTAACAATAATGAAGTGTTAGGTATATATATTGGTTGACGTGAAATAAATGCTAGTATTTTGTTAAAAAGTCTGCACAATTAATCAAAACATTATTAAATTTATGGTTATGTTGTGTTAAGATTAAAATATTTTATGTATAACTGTAAGGCTTCTAGTAATAATATAGTCATCCGTTTAAGATAAAAGCAACTAAACTCACAGTCCAATTAGATTATTAGGGATTGGATAAATTTAATTTATTTTATTTTAATAATATATTCATCCGTTTAAGATAAAAGCAACTAAACTCACAGTCCAATTAGATGATTAGAGATTGGATAAGTTTTACTTAATTTATTTTAATAATATATTCATACGTTTAAGATAAAAGCAACTAAACTCACAGTCCAATTAGATGATTAGGGATTGGATAAGTTTTACTTAATTTATTTTAATAATATATTCATACGTTTAAGATAAAAACAATTAAACTCACAGTCCAATTAGATTATTAGAGGTTGGATAAGTTTTATTTAATTTATTTTATTAATATATTCATACGTTCTTCATTTTCCAAATATTGATCATTTTTCCACTATTAGTGTTTTTTTATAAAATATAAATAACGTGCTTAATAAGTACGATATTCTCCTACACTGTCAGTAACCCCAAATCACGATTATATGATTCATCAGGCCAACAAGCCGAGGTTCTGGAGGAAACGGTACAAATAACTCTTCAAACACAGACCGAACGTTCTCGGTAGGTCTTGCTGATGACCAATCCAAGGACTTCGACATGGAGAAGACTGACATGAAATATGACTCTACTGGAATGTTCCATTGGTGTACTGCTCGTCCTATAGAAGATTGCATATTGGTCAGTTTTGTTTCAACAACCTTCCTTATATTCTATGATGACAAAAATCACAATGTGTAAGCTATATCAAGGTTTGATATATAATGCTTACTTGGCGGAAAGATTATGCGTTTATTTCCTTAAAAATGACGTATCATAATTAATAATTTTATTTTGCTTACTGGCCCATAAATGCTTAGCAATAGACTGATAAATAGGTTATTGAATGATAGACTCTTTATCCTGAAAAAAAAAACTATAATTTTGAAATTAAATTGAAATTAAAAACAAACTTCCTGAATGAACTTCTTTATACTTTCTGTCGTGACACAAACTAGGTATCAAAAGTTTTGAATTTACAGTTACTAACTTGAAATGTTTAAGTTCACAAATCACCTTTCATCATGTCGTGGTGACATTCAGATTTTTCTGTTGCTCTTTATCTACTTTTTCCGTATTTGGCTTCGTTTTTTTTACTAAACTAAGAAATCATAAGATCGTGAAATTAGGCCTTAACTAAATCGAATAGCTTGAGAAATTCCCAGAATTTCGATATTGGCATTGGTTAGTCTATAACTGTGATTCTAAAGCAAAAAATAAAGAAAAAAAAACGAATGTTCCCAAATTTATCATTTAATGTATACATATTAAATATTCATAAAAAATATGTTACTTCACATCATATCGAGATGTAGGACTATTACACATTGGTTTATTATTCTTATGCACTGTTTTATAAGTTTACCACTCAACAATACAAGTTCTTCATAAGATATGTAAATATACTTAACATTATTAATAGGATCGTAACCAAGCTGCCATGACAGTTCTCAATGGTCATGTGATCGTCTGTCTGTTCGCTGATTCTGAATCTCCTCTTATTGGCCTGAGGAACCTCGTAATGCCTTTACGCGCAAGTAACTTTCACTATCACGAGTTGAAGCATGTGGTCATTGTGGGAAGCGTCGAATATCTTCGTCGAGAATGGAAAATGTTACAGAATCTCCCAAAAATTTCAGTTTTAAACGTAGGTTGTTGTTTTGTATTTTTTGTCTCACTACTCAACCATTCTTGCTACTTTCTTGTCTGTTACAACGCTATTGCGTAATGCTTAGATGATAAGTTATTTTTGTAGTGCATCAATAGCATTACATTTTAAAATTACCATAAACTAATCCCCACCCCCTCCAACGGTAAGCATGAGAGTTTATAACGCTAAAAATCGGGAGGGCACAGCACAGATAGCTCATTGTGTAGCTTTATGTTTCAAATAACAAAAAATTAAGCATAAAATTTTAAACGTACACTGAGTGGTCACAAGTAAATAGACACCTAATTTTTCGTCATTTAACTGATTTA